TATAGCAACTTGGGAAAATATATTTAATTGATCTTGGATATTAGATTACTTTAACGATTTTTTGATACTAAGAGCTAATTTTGTAATTTAAGTGTTGGATTATGTCTTATAAATTATCTAAACAGCATAAGTAATTATGTAAGAGAATATCAATACACCTTTTAAACATGAATATAAAATATTTTTTCTGAACTAGTATTTGTCTTACCATTATTATTACTCATTGATCTACTTTAAATTTCGACAAATATTCTGTATTTATTCAAAATCTTATAGTCAATGATACTATAATTCTTATATAGTGATAATGTTTATGTCTACTCTTATGTACTTATTTGATGTAATCTGCTTGCTTAAGATTTAGTCTTGAGATCAAAATTTAGTCTTTCTTATATTAATGATAATTAATTTTGAATTACTATATGAACTTGGCTATTTTACTTAAGTTAAACAGTTTTACTAATGAAAATAAAAACCATCCTCATCGATGGCACAAATACTTAAAGGCAAAAAAAATTAAAGAGAAATTGAAACCTAAGTGTGATAACCACAAGAATTAACATAGATTTACACATCCCAAAAATTAATAAGATCTCCATAGCAATAATAAAAGAATATATTCTTGAAGTAAAATTTTGCATCTCTTGTCTTCAAAACCGTGAGCATTTATTATCATTTCTAAACCAAGTCTTACCAGAGAACATTCAATACACTAATAGTTAATATAAAGTTCTTCTTTAATTCAATTTAAAATCTACTTTCAATATAAACTGGTAAGTCGACTGGATGAAATTTTCTTTTGCCATATTCATTCTATGATAAAATTTGAGACAATCTTTATTTATTATCATTCAAGGAATTGATTTTATATTGTAATTTATAAAGAATGCATAAGACATTTTAATAGAAATAGAAAGTTGAATAATGAGATTAGTTAATAATAAATTTAATGAATTGTTAAATGATTGTTGAGTAATAAAGAAATAAGGTGAAAGAGTGTCTTTAAGGAGTATAATAAGAGTTAGATGTAATATAAGAATATCATTATTAGTTATCTTTCAGCAGAATTGATAATTTTCTTGATTAACTTGCTATTCCTACTTATCCATCACTTCTTCAAAATATTGTTAATCATACTCCAAAATTTCATTAAATATCATTGTCTTCTATACAAAACTTTGCTCAATCATTAATTCAACAAATTAAACCTATTATTATCACTATTAATTAACAGTATCAATCAAATCAACATTAGTTAGTTCAACAGGAGAATCATCAATAATCAAATTCTAAACCATTCACTTATGATTTAATTCATAATCATTCAATTCAATAAACTGAATATTGTTTTGCAATTGCTATTAATAATGATAATTCAATTGTATTAGCAGGGTGTAATAGTACTATAAAAGTATTTGAATTTAAATAAGAATAATTGTAACTAACTCAACTTCTTAGTGAACATCAAAATGATGTTTTAACTTTAAATTTTATGAAGAAATCGTCTCAATTTATATCTGGGAGTCGTGATAAATAGATGATAATATGGTCTATGAACTCAAATAATTAATGGATCTGTTCATAGAAATTGAATGAACATCAGTCTTAGATTAATTGTTTAATTTTGAATAATAATGAAGATCTTATTATATCAGGAAGTAGTGATAAAACTATTAAATTTTGGATAAAGAATAATTAATGGACGTGTTCACAAACTATTTCAGATCATACAAATTATGTATATGGATTAAGTTTGAATGAGAAATAGAATAGAGTGGTATCTTGTGGAGTAGATAAATTAATAAAAATAATAGAAGACTCATTTTAAAAATGGAATGTTATATAAAAGATAACAGTTGAGCAGTATGGTTTTAGAATATGCTTCATCAATGATTATGTATTCACATTTCAACCTTATAATTAAGAGTATATACATGTTTACGAGATAAATAGTAGTAATTAATAGTATTCAAAGACAAAACAAATTGATGTGAAAAGTGATTCCGATGCTTGTGATTGTTTGTTTCCTTAATAATATCTTAAATCTAAATGCTTACTTGTGAATAAGAATGGAAGGAATGTTAATTTGATAAGGAAAAATTAAAATGGTCATTTTATCACATAATAATCTATTCAATTGGGGCATCGTATTATGTATGGTTAGATGAGTGAAAATGGAGACTATTTGGTTACTTGGGATAATTAATCTAGGGAAATTTAAATTAGGAAATATCATTGATGAAAAATTTTATTTTAATTAATTATTAACTTAAAATTAATTATATAATAATTAAGAGAGTTTAAATGAAACTTGCATAAAAATGGAATCTAGAAGTCTTAAAATGAAGAATAAAGTAAGTGAAAATTTCAAAATATGATTAAATTACAATGCTGATTATATAGACCAATTTAGAAAAACTAATTCTAAAGTAAAGATTTTTTAATGATTGATTGATAAACATTTAATTGATATCATATTATGGAAATAAACTAGTGAATAAATTCTCATCATGAGTTCATCTATATGTTTGGATTTAATGTTTATTATTTAGGACTAAATTCTACTTTTTTTCATCATCCTTTGTAATTCCTTAATAATTAAGCAACTTACAGAAATAATTAGCTATTCTTTAAAATTTTCCTTCAAGAAGGGGATA